TTACTGCTGTATGCAGTCTAAGAAGAAAGCTATGGGAAATTTTCAGATTATATACCCTAAGCCAAGAACATCAAGTCTTGTGTAATTATCTCCTGCTCCATGGTCACTACTCCAAGATGGCTAGATGCACTTTGATATTACTTATTCTATCTTATCCATTTACTATTTTTTCCAAAATGAAATAACTATGTGCATAGTCCTTTAGAACATTTTTTTTTACTTTGCAACTTGCCATAGCATTTTCCCATGTCATTAAATTCCTTTTTATAACACTGCTTTTAATAGCTACACTGCATTCCTTTATGCATTATTTCATCATCCCCTATTGTTAGAAGTTTGGTACATATCCAGGTCTCAGCATTGTAAAGGATCCTGCGCATGGATACCCTTAAATATAAGCATTGTGAATCCCTTTGAATATTGAGTAGACTTTTACTAGTTAGATACAGATTTTTTAAAGTAATCATTTATTTGAAAAAGAGAAACTCGGAGAGAGAGGCAGAGAGATTTTCCATATGTTGATCCACTCTCCAAGTGGTCATAATAGGCTGGGCTGGGCAAGATCTAAGCCAGGAGCCAGGAGCTCCCTGAGGCTCCCCAGGGGTACAGGGACAAGCTACCTGGGCCTTTCTGTGCTGTTTCCCAATGGCATCAGCAAGGAGCTGGTTCTGAAGTGAAATGGGACAGAAACTGGTACCACATTGGATGCTGGCAGTACAGAACCTGCTCTATTTTTTGGGAAAAGATTTACTTATTTATTTGAAAGGCAGATTTATACATAGAGAAGGAAACACACATACACATGGTCTTCCATCTGCCAGTTTACTCCCTGAATGCAAAGGCTGGGACTGGCCCATCTGAAGAACCTGGGAACTCCATCTGGGAACCTGGAACTCCATCTAGCTTTCCCATGGGGTGGAAGGGAGGAGGGACCCCAGGGACCCCAGTGCTTGTTCACCTACTTTCCCAGCTGCTTTAGCAGTCAGGACTGCAACCTACACTGATTCCTGATGTCAGCATTACAGGCAGGAGTTCGAGATATTACAACATGATGCCAGCCCCAAGGGCAGCTGCTACCGCCTTTCAGAGGAACTTTACATTGCTTGTACAAAGCTGGTCATGGGTGATGGGTGTCTCTGTTCTCTTGCTACTGTTGTATACAGTATGCAGCAAATGACTAACAGAAATTCATAGAGGTTAATAAAGGTAATACATTTCATCTTATGAATAAGCAAAAGTGTTTCTATTTCTGCTGAGATTGTATTACCTTGAATACTAAATATTTTATGTAGTTGTAAAATTGGGATTTTAAAAACGTGATATTCTTACAATGTGTTTATTTTAGCGTTTATCTTTTTTTCCTATGTAGCACAGATTTGTAAAGCAAATATATATACACATGTGCATATATATTTAGAAACATTTATGATCTTATAAACCTACGATGTTAGTACTTTGTATCTATTCATGGAGAAATATTCTTATTACTTATTAGATGTGTAGATTTAACTAAGTAGGAATATTTTCCCATATTCTTCTGAATGTTTTGGTAGTTTGTCATAATTGATTATACTGTTATAAGAAATCTCATGTGAAAACTCTCATTTTTAAGAAGTAAGTGTGATAATTGGCTATTGTATGTATTTACTTTCAAGTTATTAAAGTGGTTTTAAAATTCTAAGACCTAGAGAGGAAGCTCTGCACGCACAGGATTCCATCTGAGAATCACATGTGATTCTCAGTACAATAAAAAAAAAATGCTGCAAAACACTAAAAAAATCGGAGACCTGATTTCTAATTTATAAATGTCTTCTATTTAACAGAATTCAAATTGGCTGATGTAAATCAGTCATTCAAATTTTATATATAAACTATCAGAGTAAAGTAGGATCCTCTAAGTTTGGGGAATTTCAAGTACTTGCATTTTGCTATTATCTAACTATCTAATATGTTTGTTCTCACTGTGTTGGATTTGGTTTCATATTTGTTATATCAGTTTGCATTGTTTGTCCATGTGAACGATGACACATGGACATATTCCTTGAGAGAATTAAACAGGTGCTTGTTTTGGGTGCCTTTGCTCTGCCACATCCACTTCCGTTCTCAGTGGAGTCTGGAGGAATGAGAGGAAGGGGAGGGAAGAACGGAGGGAGAACGGTGGATTGATGCTGGCTGGAAGACCCCTCTGCCAGGTCCTGGAAAGTTAAAAACGCTGCTTGGCAGAGGTGCTCCATGCCTCACGGCGTAAAGCTGCAGGGAGGAGCCACGCAGGTTTCCAAGTGCATTGCATCCAGTTAATTATTGCTCACGACTTTGAAACTTGGCGTAGGAAAGGAAACAATCATGAATCTTTGAGAAGTGAAGTTACGGATTAAAAGGGAAAGCCTTGTAAAGTTGTCCACCCCAGGCAGAATTGTGAAAGGGAGATCTTATCTTCTCTGAAGCCTCACAGGGTCTTTTGGCCTCAGGCAGCCCATGACTTACAGTGGCCCCTCGACTAGGGAAGGACCTCCCTCAACTTTACTGCAGAAAGAACCCACTACTGCGGAAGCCATCAGGTAGTTCAGGAATCCCTTGTCTTTGTTTCACAGCTGCCCAATCTGAGACAAAGGGGGGATTTCATAAGTGAATCCCCCAGGGATTGTGTTACCTGATCAGGCCACTGATACATCCTGGGCTGCTTCCTGGGCTGGCAGCGTTTTTTTTTTTTTAAAGATTTATTTTTATTATTTTTTCATTGGAAAGGCGGATATACAGAGAGGAGAGACAGAGAGAAAGATCTTCCGTCCGATGATTCACTCCCCAAGTGAGCGCAACGGGCCGGTACTATGCCGATCCGAAGCCAGGAGCCTCTTCCGGGTCTCCCACATGGGTGCAGGGTCCCAAAGCTTTGGACCGTCCTCAACTGCTTTCCCAGGCCACAGGCAGGGAGCTGGATGGGAAGCGGGGCTGCCGGGATTAGAACCGGCGCCCATATGGGATCCCGGGCGTGCTAGGCGAGGACTTAGCCACTTGCGCCACCGCGCCGGGCCCTGGCAGCGTTTTAATAAAGTACTGTTAGTGAAGTTGAAGGATGGGAAATGCTTTAGCGTTGAGTCAGAGCTGTTTTCATCATCACAGACGTGGCATCTTCATGAAGTTTAAGACTTCCTCTTTAATCACTGCCATGTCTCTCATAGTCCTTGATTTGCTGGATTCCCTGATTTAATATCTGGAAGCGGAGATCTTTTACTCTTAGATACAAATATTTCTGTCAATATTTTGCAGCATTACCCTCTAAAGTCAATTGGATAAAAAGAACTAAAATAATGACGAACTAGAGACCTGTCAGGGAGTCACGGCCAGCCCACTCGCGCTGCCTGCAAGCACAGTCATGGCTGGATAATTTGAAACCTTCCTACCCAGGTCACGGGGCCACCGTTGCAGTGCCTCCATTGAGGAGTCAAGATCATTAGCTTGGCATATTTTCTCTCTGATTTGGGTTTCCATTCGAGATGTGCCCACGTGATGCCAAGGTGCCATTGTACAAGTAGGAGGTAAGTTTCCTGACTGGAAACAGTGACAGAAAAAAACCTTCATCATCACACTTTGCTAAACAAGTTGATCTTTCAGAAACCTGTGTTAATAACAGGAGGGTATGCGCAGGCAGAGGCTGGTGTGGCAGTGCTCAGATGAAGCAGCGTGTGAGACGCTGGCATCCCGATGGGAATACTGGTTCCAGGCCTTGCTGCCCTGTGGCCCTGTCTCTGATCCAGCTTCCTGCTTATGGGCCTGGGAAGCAGCCAAGGATGGCCCAAGCACTTGGAATCCTTGTTGTGACCTGGGTGGAGTTCCTGGTTCTAGCTTCAGGTTGGCACAGACTTGGATAATGTGGCCATTTGGGGAATTAAATCCACAGATGGGGGATCTCTCTCTCTCTCTCTGTGACTCCTTTCTCTGTTGTAACTCTGCCTTTCATATAAGGATAAATAAATCTTAAAGGAGCCAATGTAGCAATTTGGTCCTGTGTGCTTCTTTCTTCTCTTTTCTAATATATTTCTCCAACAACTCTAATGACAGTGGGCCGTTATGTCAATGACTGGTACAAGACCTGTGGCCAGCCAGGCATGGAGAATTTTCTGTGACACCTGGAGGTCACAGAGGTCTGCAGCTCTCTCAGGAAACACTTGCTATCTTCCTGATGAAGTCAGTCCAGAACGAATATGGGCTGTAGGCTAGTATGTTCTCAAAGGCCTTAGAACCCATGAGTTATGAAGTTGTGGTAAAGAAGTCATTTCCAACACCAATTTCACAATAAGAAATCACAGCAGGAAAATTGGAAATAATGTCTAATAACATGGGTGGATATCTGAGAAATAGCTACTGTTTACTTACTAAAGGGAGACAGAGATTAACAAAGTTGTAAAGATAATGAGGATATGAAGAAATTAGGCACAGGTATATGAAAAGCGTTGTTAAACAATGATTTCTGTGGTAGAACCTGAAGAGCTGCTTAGAATCTTCAGGAACTATAGATTCTATGACACTTGAAATGTAAAATGGCAGAAAGGCAATCTGGTTAATAGGAACGGGATCTATAGGCACAGCAGGAATGCACCTCTCTGTGTTTTGTTCGATGCACCTGCATAGATGATATGCGAATAGGGAGAGCTTTGAGCGTGGAATATGAGGTAGCATCAGAGCGTCATGAATGTTGCTGTGTCATGTCCCACGTATTTCCACTCTCTAAGCCTCAGTGAGTTGACTGTAGAGATCTGCCTTCCAATACTGATTGCTTCAAAAGTCGTGTAACTTCCCATGCCTGGGAAGTTCATTCTTCTAAGGCACAGTTTCTGCAATTGGATTCCCTTCTAAGTTGGCTGTTTATCATTTCTCATAAGTCTTTTTCTCTTTTGCTGTGGTTTTTGATGCTTTGTCTGCATGGAAAACAGGTGTTCAGAATTATAATTTTTAAAAACTCCAAGTTGCATACTAATATTTTTAATTTTTATGCCTGACAGACGGAATGTGCAAATTTCATCCGGGTTCTTCAGCCCTATAATAAAACTCACATTTATGTGTGTGGAACGGGAGCATTTCATCCAATATGCGGATATATTGACCTTGGAGCCTACAAGGAGGTAATGTAATAAATTTTACCATTTATTGTGGTAAGAACTTGCCACCTAATGTCTAGGGTTTGGAGCAGGCTGATCGAAATGTACAGGATGATACACTTGGTTATGATCTGTACAAGAGCTCAGCTCATGTCGATAACCATTTTATGGATGGTCACCTTTCTTCTCAAGGAACAGTAGTTTGAGTTTTTAAGGAGGATGACCGTGCACAGGTTCTGAAGGCCTTAGCAGGAATGCCTCCAATTTTTCCAGGAGGATCAGATCTCTTTCCCCAGAGTCTGTGATTTGTCTCACTGGCTACCAGGGGTCGCTGTGCTTTGTACGCTTAAGCCCACTTTTTTGCCTTTGTGAAATTCAGTTTCATCCTATACATGAACATTTTGAATTTTAGGAACAGCCAAGTGCCCCCTGTGACTTTTTAAGACCACACTCACAGCCAGGCACAATGGCCTTGCACCATAACCTTGCATGTTGAAGCAGTCCCTGGGTGTCACCCTGAACCCCAACACGTCGGAGAAGAGCTGTTGTTTTCTTCATACACTTTATCTACCTGGTGGGTTTCATCCTGTTACAAGTTGCTTTTGACGAGATCAGTGCAAAGTGATATAAGTGCATATTTTCTATGGTTTCCATGTGTCTGGTTTTTTTGGATTTCCTTCATAACTAGCTATGCACACATATATGTACACTAGCTGTGTATATTATTATGGGTGGAAATCCATTTCCCATGGCAATGGAATTGTATCTTATAAATAATTTCATTTCCCATCCTGCAAAGTTGATGTGTTTTGTATGTTGACAGTAGTGCACAAAGTCCAAAAATTTTAAAGATTTTCTTAAGTGTGTGCGCAAAACTATTGGCTCACTGAACTCATTGTTTCTTTTGTGCTACGTTGACAGTGGGAATAAAGGCTGCGCTAATTAGGAGTAATGCATTCCAGATATCAACGAACATTGTAATAAATGAGAAACATGCAGATTTTATAAATGTAATTAATAACTGGTACTCATGCGTGCTCTCTTTGTGTTGTTTTTGTGTTCCTTCACATGAATTTTTCCTTTGGAATTTCATACTATACTAAATGAAGTTATTGCCATTATGTTTCCCAACTTATTGGTTAGCAAACATTGAGTGTCAGCAGCAAAAATTAAATTGCTTAGGTCACTTCACTAATGATGGTCTAGCAACAAACTAAAGTTCTGCATAGAGCAAGTGTGCTTAAGTAAGTTTTATATGCATGCCTCTAAGTGTTCCTTTGTGTGTGTTGTCATCCTCATGTTTATGCAAATACTTCTGTGAATAACCATGCATATGTATGCAGTATAACTGGCTACGTTTATAAGGTACATTTTGGATTTAATGCAGCAGGTTTCTTTACACTGATGCAAAGATCAAACCCACAACTGTCGGGGATAGATTTTTCTCTACCAACTGATCTAACCAGCCCAGACTCTACTATGTGAAAGTAAAGCAACCTTGGGTAGTTAAACTTCTCAACCAGTAGGAGTCTTGGCAACTTGAATCCATCATTCTTTGTTGCTGGAATAATGTTCTGCCTGGCTTTGATGAAGGGTAATATAGAACAGTAGCTCCTAACAGAGAGTGGAATTATATGAGAGCCCCACAGCTTGCCTGTGTTCTGAGGCCTGAGGCTAAAGGCCAAACTTGCAGCCTGTTCAGGGAAGCAGGCCCTTCAAAGCCACCAGCAACGGATTTAGATGGAGTGCTTAGCTTGGGCCTGCCTAGAAGCCCAGAGACAGTCAGATTTACAAGTTTAACCATACATGGAGTGAATGGGCTGTTGAGCCTTGCGAGTTTTCAGTTGGGCAGGAGCAGTTTAACTGTGTTTCAGCCCTGCAAGATTATTAACTTTTTAAAAAATCAATTATTAGTCCCAAGAAGTTCTTGTACTTCTAGAAGTTTAGAAGTTTCTTCCATTTCCAGATACATCCACCTGCCTATGAAGTGGCCGGGAAGAAGGAACAGCAGTACTCAAAGGAGAGAGGGAATGGCAGTGGATCAGAGGGGTGCAGGGAGACATATGTGGGGACTGCTGTGCGGAGAGAGGGGCAGCCTGGAAGGGAGCTGCATCCTAGCTTGCAGGGAGTCCAAACGTGGTGCAGTTTCCTTCCTCCATCTTCCCTGCTTCCCTCCTTCCTCCCTCCTTCCCTGCCTCCCTCTTTCCCTCTTTCCTTCCTTCCTTCCTTCCTTCCTTCTCTCCTTCCTTCCTCCCTCTCTCCCTCTCTCCCTCCCTCTCTGCCTCCCTCTCTCCCTCTTTCATTCCTTTTTTCCTTCCCTCCCTCCCTCTCTCCCTCTTTCACTCCTTCTTTCCTTCCTTCCTCCCTCCCTCCCTCCTCCTCCCTCCTTCCTCTCTCCCTCCTCTCCCTCTCTCCCTCCTTCTTCCAACCCTCGCTCCCTTCTCCTTCCCTTCCTTTCTTCCATTTAATTTGTGCGGGAGTGGTGAGTTTGCATCACACACTCAGCACTTGAGACACGTTCATTTGGTCCTGCCAAGGGGGCAGTTGGATTCAGAACTCAGGAGAAAAGTTAAAGCTGTGTTCATAGCTCCTAATAATAGTTTGGGCAAGGACAGCCAACATTTAGAATCCAGCTGCAATCATTTGCCACTTTCATGAACTTGAGTGCATCGCATGAGCTTTCTAAGATTCAGCTTATTCAGGAAAATGACGAGAATTGTAATGACAACTATTTCACAGAGTTCCTTAGGGTGAAATGAGAGCACAAATGTGTATGTCTTTGACTAATTATGTCTTTGATTAATAAGTGAGAAATAAATGCTTGTGGCTTTCCTAGGCCACAAACAGGGAGCTGGATGTGAAATAGAGCAGCCGGGACAAGAACCGGAACCCACATTGGCGAGGACTTGAGCAACTAGGCTATGGTGCCGGGCCCAGAGCATGAATTTTTTAAAAATATGTACACCTACTTTATGTAAAATAATCATTATTTTCTGGAGCCCCGACAGGCAGCTGTTTACTCACTGATTTGGACACCGGTTGTACCAGCTAAATAGAATTGACCATGGCGTTGCCCAGCAAGCATGAATAGATATTTTCTTAGCATTTTTTTAATATCTCAGCTACTTTTCTTTACTTATTTGGCAATATCTCTGCATATATATCTCAGATAGGTGCTTTTTGAAAAGATTGGTCAGGTTTAGTGATTCTCCATGAAAATTGTTACCAAGTTGAAGTCTAAACCTCGGAGTGTGTTGTGATCTAGTGGGTTATCTCAGGACGTGTGTTGTGATCTAGTGGGTTATCTCAGGACGTGTATTGAAGCATCCACTGTGTTCCCTTCACTTCCTGGTGGCTGTCCCTGGCTGTTTCCTTTCTCCGGGAGATTAGGAGGGAGCCCTCGTCCTCAACTGCCACGTTATCACTTTGATGAAACGTTGCATGTGGAAGCAGGTGTCTGTGCACTTGTCTCACGCTCACGTGGAACACTGGCTCGACCGTGACATTCTGTCGGACGTTTTCTAGGTTTTAGTTTTAATTTTGATTATATAACTTTGGAACACAACGACTCGGGCACCTTTCCTTTTGCTGATGGACAGTATGTCCTTAATGGTATTAAATGTTCTCAGAGGTCATTGTCTACACGTCTGTCCCTGGCAAATCTCTGGCTTGCCCAGTATGCCCTATGTCTGTTCCCATTGATTGAACGGTTTCTTTGTTTTCGGTAGGTAGGCTTCCTTGTCACTTCTCATGCGCTGATGTGTGCGAACTGAATACATTTTAAACTCATTCCTCTTAGTTGACCACAGTGAGTCTGCCTATTCATTTTAATACGTTTTAAAACTCTAATTCTGAGACTAGGTTAGCCAAGAGCAGGAACTTTAGAGACGGTATTGAGTTCAATCTCATGTTGTGCCTGTCACCAGCTTTGTGCCAGCCAAGCAGGTAACACTTTATGCTCCGTATGAAAGTAGGAGATCCGGGATGCATAGAACGACCACATCATCAGGCTGTGGTGAACCGAAATGCAGAGAGTTCCTGGCGCTTGTCTGCTAGCCACCGTCATTGTTAGTGCTAACTTGTGTTTCCTTCCAACTGTGGGATAGTAGTTAGCTATCAGATGAATTGCTGTGACTTTATTTTAAATAAGGAGTGATCTTGTTCAAAATAAAAGATAAATATTTAAGATACAATCGAACACAGTAAATAATCCGGTGGCCTGACCTCATTGGCTCTCTCCCTCGGTGCACTGAGCCCTTCCTGCTGTTTACGCATTTGCTCTGGGCTGTGTTGGTCTAGAGAGCGTGATGCTGAGCCGTCTCAGGCTCGCGCAGCATGAGTCTCCAGCCTTGCTCTCGGATGGCGTCGTGTCGTCATTGTTGTGAGGCAGCCAGGCTCATCGGACCTCAGTTATTAGGCATTTGTACTTAATAGAATCTATATATTGTTAATATTAGAAGCCTGCTACTGTCATTCTGTGGACACTATTATAAAAATAGCCATTTTAGCCAAAATAATTATGCAGCTTTAATGCGTATAGTGTTTTCACAACAGTGAAACTGCTCCAGCAGGGTTTTCTCGTTCTTCACAAGTGTTAGCGGCTCTGCAGCTGCACCATCTGCTGAAGAGCACTTGTGTGCCATAAAATTAAAAAATCAAGCTTAAGGTTTAAATAATTTAGTGTTTTTGCAGAGGTTTAGGTGTATAGATCATAATCATTATTCTGAAATTGTTAATATAGGAATTTTGTCTTATTAGACTTAAGAAATTAGTTACTGGGCCCAGCGCAAAGGCCTAGTGGTTAAAGTCCCTGCCTTGAACTTGCCAGGATCTCATATGGGCGCCGGTTCTAATTCAGGCAGTTCCACTTTCCATGCAGCTCCCTGCCTGTGGCCTGGGAAGGCAGTGCAGGACAGCCCAAAGCTTTGAGACCCTGCACCTGTGTGGGAGACCTGGAGGAAGTTTCTGGCTCCTGGCTTCAGATGGGCACAGCACTGGCCATTGTGGTCACTTGGGGAGTGAACCATTAGACAGAAGATCTTCCTCTCTGTCTTTCCTTCTCTCTATGTATCTGACTTTGCAATAAGAATAAATAAATCTTTAAAAAAGGAATTAGTTACTTAGTTTAAAATGCACATGTGTTTGGTTGTGACTGTGACACTGATAGTGGTCTAGACTAGTGGAATTGATGAGTAATTTGCTATTTGCACTTGAAAAATTCACTCAGTGTTATCATTGCCGCTTTGGTCAAGGACACCAACACAGGTATGTTAGGTCTTGGGAGATACAAGGTTTGTCAAAGTGTTGAGAAGTGCAGACTTCATGGGAAATGTGTACTATAAGAAAACTGCGGACTTCATTATTGCACAAACGAATTGCTTTTTTATTTTTTATTTTTTATGTCTACCTAGTTCTTGCGGAACTAATGGGTTAGTATTTACTTCCTATTTCCTTTGTTCTCATGGATGGTGACTTTTTTTTTAGTCTCACTGGTGTTGACGTTTCGCATTGCAGGAAGTGCTGTTCAAACTGGACACACAGAGCGTGGAGTCCGGCCGACTGAAGTGTCCCTTCGATCCGCAGCAGCCCTTTGCCTCGGTCATGGCAGGTGAGGCCGGCAGTGGCCTGTTAGCCCTTTCAGTGATTCCCCAAGAAGGTCTGTACAAACCACACAGCCAGCGCCTTTTGGGCTGATGCTCTTTGAGCCGTGTTGTCCTGATATTTCAGCGCTGAACCTTTGCACCACGCGTCCTCATCAGTAGACTGAGGCACAGCAATGCTTAGTGTCTGTCCTGTTGCTGCTCACACTGATTCCTCTGTGCGTTCTTTGTAATACAGTTGACAGTCACTATTGCAATTTCTCATTCAGATTTCTGGGATTTTCTCCTACTAAGATCTGTCCCTATTTGGTTTGGTATGGTTGTTAAATTTAGCAATTCCATGAGTGGGTAAATAAGTAGAAGAAACACATCAAGTCTTAGGATACACAGAAAACCCCTTTTCTTCAGTTCCACTATGATCGGATTATATTCATACAGATATTGTAAGTCTTTTGCCAATATATTTTGTGATCTTTGGTTTTGTGTGCAATGTACAGTCTTCTGTTTAAGCTCCAGACTAGTCATGTTCATGGAATTGTGACATTTTTCTAGCACACGTGCTCCTGTCTTGCTTTGTAAACATATTCACCTCTCTGAGAAGACAGCTTTCCTGTTCCTAAGAGGCAGGGCTGTGTGTCTTTTAAGTGTTACCCACTGCTGTCTTTGAAGGCCTGTGTGTTTTTTTCTCTCCCTCTCAGATGAGTACCTCTATTCTGGAACAGCCTCTGATTTCCTTGGCAAAGACACCGCCTTCACCCGGTCGCTCGGGCCGACTCCTGCTCATCATTACATCAGAACCGACATTTCAGAACACTACTGGCTCAGTGGTTAGTAAATTTGTTTTCTTACCACCTGTAATTGTTTGAGAGTAGACAAACCCATTATTATTTGCTCAAATTGTGTTCATTGAGTTGCTTGATTCTATATCATAAATACACTGGAAAGAATTGCATGTTAATGTATAAAAAGCTTTTATCTATGTAGTAATTGCTGGTATTTATTGGGGATGTGCTGTGTTTGTGACCTTGACAAGCCTGTGTGCCCTAGTGCATATTTCCATGTCCACAATTACATCCAAGATACGCTGCTACTTTACGCTTTCAAAAGAAGAGCCGCTGCAAAGAGACACAAGTTAGGCTGTTCAAGCAGCATTGTACGACTGGTGGGCTGCAGAGCTGGACCACGAATGGCCAGTCTCAGTCCTGCGTTCTGTGGCCCAGTGACGCAGCCAGATGCTGTCAGGTAGCCCAGTGGGAAAGGCTTGACTGCAGTGCTAATCACTGTTGCTTAAAGATAAATTTTGCTTAAGTCTTATCTTTTACAGTTGTGAGCATATTCATTTTTATAAGGTTTCCTTTTGTTATTCTTTTATATAGGGTCATAATAGTATTTTGAGACTTTCAAAATATAAGATTTTAATTAAATTAATTAATTGAGAAATTAAAGCCTTCGCAGCCTTGCAGCAAATTAAATTTATTATGAATTTCTTTGTTTCTAATTATCATGTGTCTTTATTATAATCCATGTCAGAATAACATAATGTTTATTTAAGCAGACAGCATTGCAGTTCCACCATAAATATTAGGTTTTCGTGGAGTAGGCCAAGGTAAAGATTTCCCAGGGGCTATCTGCTTATCTCTGTGTGGTTTGAGCAGTGACAATATAAGCAAAAGGGAAAACGTCTGTAAACATTTCTTTAGTCATAATTTGCACATCACTGTTTACATAACAATGTGATTTGTATTGAGCAGACCTATTAATGACCTATTAATAGGTAAAACATATGCAGGATAAGACCATCATTGCATGCACTGTGAGACTGTTGTGAAATTGGGTTTGACAGTGATTCTATAGGTTCTGTCTACAGAAAAGTTTAAATATCTGCTTAGATAATAAACTATCCTCATGCTTTGAAATGGATTACATACTCTGCTCTCAGTCTTGGGGCAGGCAAATACCACATTGCTGTTCTGCTAATCGATTATTCTGTTTTTTTTTTTCTTAACTAGGAATGTCCATTAAGAACTGGTATACAAGTTTGTTAAAACATGTAAAAAATATGTGTTTAACACTAATGTTTCTGTAATGTTGCTGTTAATAGTGTATGAAGAGAGTCCCAAAGCAGGAAACATTTGAAAAACAGTCTTTGAGACCCTGCTGTGTACTGTGTGCTGGTCTGTCCATGAAGCCTGTGCCAGCAGAACAGGCTGCGGCTAAGGCAATGGTGACCTCATGAATGGTGACACATGCTTTGCCTGGAGCATAAGGACAGAATGGGTGACAGGCTTGCACTGTAAATACCACATGGAAGCCAATGGAGAACCATCCATGGTCCAATTTGCAACCAGATAATCAGACTTTTTTTTTTTAATAATATGAAGAGAAGATTAGAGACAATGAGGACAGGGAGAGGAGGTCGTTGTTTGAACAATAGGAGCAGTAAGGGTCAGCAGCAAATACAGTGACAGAGAAGAGTCATGAGAGCTCTGCTTCAATAGAGCTTAATAATCTGTGCTTAAATTCTCACCATCTCTTGTATGGAAAGTTGTTGAGACTTTGTGCACATTCATGTTCTTTGTCTATAAATACGGCATTCATACTCTCTTCATGTCCTTGGAACTAAATTAGTTGATAACAGGAAGTTTGCTGGAAGGCAGTGCAAGGAGCTGAGTCAGCATCAGTGTCATCGTGCTCATCATTCCTGAAGGTGGGAGAAGCAGGTGCTTCTCAGACATCTCTGGCAGCCACCCTTCTCTTCTCTTGCACTTGCTCTGTGCTTCATAATCCCCTGAGCATATTCGCCCTAGGACAACAAGGTTCAGCTGCTTTACATGTCCCAGTGTCTCCTAAAATTCCAACCTTCTCCTGTAATTAAGGGGCTTTGAGAATATTTATTTGAACCTATTATATTTTGTTCCCAGTTGAAAAGAAAGAAAAACGAAGATTCATGGGATCCAAATCTAAAATTTAAGAGTATGAATTTTTTGATTACTTGCTTTTCTTTTATCACCTGTCCTTCAGTGCCAGTTTCCTGGCTCTTGTCTGTCCTGAGAATTGTGACGTCACCCACCCAGTTACCTTGAAGCTGTCTTTGATGCCTTCCTTCCTTTGGCCTCTTTTATCTGATACCGGATGGGCTTTTCCTTCCCTTAGAATATTGATGGACCTTGCACTCTCCTATCTCTATCTTCATCTCCATGTGTATTTTATAGAGCATCCATGATGGAAACTTTCAGAGGCACTTTTAAAGTGCTTAATCATTCATTGGCATGATCTTGGAGAATTACTATTTACAGTTTGCCTGTGGGAACATATTAGAAGTCAGCTTGTTATCCACAGTTAAACTAGTCACAGAAGTGCAATTGAAACCCAGCTACACCCATGCAGCTGTAGGTCTGCGTTCTTTCCATTCCAGGCAGCAGTCCACTCACTCAAACTCTAATCTTTCCACCACATCCACTGTTCTTGCAGTCTCACCACACATGGAATCCATGTCTTCATGCCATATTGGGCAACGGGACACTGAGGTGTCAGGGAGAGAGAAAGTTGGGCTAGACAAGCAATGCAAGAGACTTGTCAGTGTGGCCAGAGCTGGGGTGAGTGCAAGCAGCAAGGCAGACTCTTGCTAGGGTTCAGCAGGGCAGCGCTGGAGGGACAGGACCAAATCAGTTGGTTCCTCAGTGGAAGGCGAGGCAGAGCAGGAGGAGAAATTATGGAAACTGTGGCTTTCCTAAAATGAGGCCGTTGGCTGAGGCTATTCTTTGATGGGAAACGGCTGTTTTTCAGCTGTGCTTGTGAAAGTCAACAGGGTCCTCCCACCAGAGTTGGGAATGTGAGGAGAGGAGGTGCAGGTGAACTGTGCCGATGGTTGGGAGTGGCAGTTACCTAGGCATATCCTCTTTATGCTCATATTTCATAAACTAAATGTAGCATGAAGGAAGAGTGTTTCCAGGTCTCCTAGCTACCAAGCCATCCTTCCATCACTGCATTGAGTGCTTGCAAACAGCAACCTGTTCTGCCCTTGGTGTCTGGGAGATTGGTGGCCTCTGCGTGTAGTTATAAGACAACTGAGCAGCACAGGGCAGCACAGAGCAGTCACTTACGCAGGCTACCTGCTGTGAAAATGCTATGCACATAACACTTTCCAAATCTAATCAACCTTCTTCAGTCACACTAGCCATCTTTCGTGTACTTATTGACTGCCAGGACCATGAACACCATATTGAATGGCACAGATATAAAATATTTCTACCAATTTGGAAATTTCTGTTAGGCAAGGCTTACTAAAGTATACTTATGTATTATGTTTAATAGCTTACAATTATATAATGCAACACATTTGTGAATTTTCTTTACTATTTATATAGAACATAATTGTGAAACTCCTTACTGGCTTTCATAAGATTTCTTCTGGGTTGAAAGAACTGACAGATGATAAATATTCAGACAATGAGATCAATATCTGTGTCCTTTTGTTTCTTCTTCATATTTACTGTGTATTTCTAATGAGATAACTTATGTCTCATGTTGTATTTTGATGCCTACACTTTTTTGTCAGTTCAAATGCATATTTTCTACAAGTATGTAATATAATAAACTCTTATACATGTAGTGTTATATTTAGATTAAATGAATACTGAAATTGAATGTATAACTGTTAAGATAGAGGTTCCAAGACTTAGGTACATATATAAGATGTACTAATTTGGAAGACAAAGGGAGACAGGGAGAAAGCGAGAAAGCTCCTACGCCTGCTTCAGTCCCCAAATGGCCAATACAGCCAGGGCTGGGCTAGATACAAACCAGGAGCTGCTAGGTCCATCTGGCTCTCACAGAGTGCACAAACGGAGCAGCTAGAGGCAGGGATGGAACCAGTCACTCTGGGGTGCTGTGTAGGTGCCGATCCAGCTGCTATCTCACGTGCTGGCCCCCAAAGAATTCTAATAGGATGCTGCTTTTATCACTGAACTGCTGGGTGAGTTTAACACCCTAATAGATCTGGGTATGTCCTATTACTTCTGTGCTGCCTGACTTTGAACCAGGGTGAAATCAGCTAGCCTCGTCACTTAATGGTATAATTCTCTTCCAGGACTCTCTAATCTAGTCCCAAGAGTTCTAGAAGTATGAATGGTTTTTTCCCTCCTTGAAATAATAAACCTTCTATTAAATTATCATGTCAGGATGAAGTATAACAAAGATGTAATACAGTGGAAAGTTGTGATAAAAATTCAGATGGTTCTACCTTTTATTGACTTAATCTTTTTAAAAAATTATTTATTGTATTATTTTATGATGCAGTCCCATAGGTATGGGATTTCCCTTCCCCCTTTCCCAAATGTGTACTCCGCACTGATTCCCCCTGTATTATTACAATAGTATGATCCTTAAATAGTGATAAGTCTAGTATTCTGCTATTTGAATGTATTTCTGGGCGTGGATAATGGGTGAGACTCCAGCAACCTATTGTCAAGATATATTTAACAGTTTCATTGGGATTCCATCTTTGATCTGGAAGTAGAGATGCACACTGCATTGTATCTTCACATCTGGATATGATAGTCTCCGTTACGCAGCTACTGCACATCCCCTTAAATGAAAAGCCATAAAACAAGAATGTCAGGAAGAAAAACAGAACATTACAACAACACAAAGTTAAATAACATGCTACTGAATGACCAATGTGTCACTGAAAAAATAATAAAGAAAATCAGAAACCTTCTTGAAGAAGGTACTGTCACTGTGTGACCTAATCTTAGAACGTAAGAAGAAATAGGAACATTGATGTGCAAGCTCTGCTGATTACTCCTGTAGTGGAGTTTTTGTTTAAAATTCCGATAAAACTGAGAAATATGACTGCTTCAAAAACTAAAGAGATGTCCCAGCTGCATATGTTTTGTTTTCTTTCCGGGAGTGGATGAGAACTTTTGTTTTACATTTCCATTTTTAACATACGGAGGCCATTTTCATTTGAAGTTTCTCCTTGGGTGCTCTGCTGTCTGTAAATTCCCCACCCACGTTGAAAGGGAAGAAATAATAGGAAAAGGTTGTGATGAGAAAAGATGCAGTGATGTCAGGACTTCTCTTATGTCGTGAAGGTGGCTGAGCGCATGCGAGTGAAAGGATGCTGGGAGTGGTTAGAGCGATGTGCGTGGGGCTGTGCGGGCTCCAGTTGGCAGCACTGCTTGGTGTCATGTACGGGTTCATGGGTGAAGCTACGCTTTCAAACTCTGTCCCCACTGGGGCGTGTGTTTCAAGTGCTGAAGGGGATAAATGTTCTGTAATAAAGCCCAGGTGTCTACGGGCCTGCTGTAAGAGTGTTTAATTCAACAGCTGTGCACTAATTAATAATATCTATTTTTATGCAATATAGGAAAGAATTTTTATCAGAAAATACCAACATCAGTATTTGTCAGACATGACCTAAATGAAATCTGCAAGGAACGAGCTTTCTGTTCTTGAAGCTTGTATTTATTTTTAACTTATAAGTGTGCTTAATGTTTAAATCACAGGACAGAGGACTGTTGGATATGCTTTTTATATAATTAGATTTCTTCATATAATAAGCACTTGGCTTAAACAGCTCTAGCTTACCCCTCCAAAATCATTCCTCACAAACTTATGAAAGAACCAACATTTAAGAGAGAATGCAATAAAATCTGCAGTGACCAAGTAAGCACAAATCCACTCTTGCCTCATGTTCTCTACCAGTTGCAAGTGAGAGTAAATGGCACTTGGAGCCCCACTCTCTCCCCATTGAAGCCCTAATGAGGTTCCTGACATGTCCTCCACCCGTGACCCTGTGCACCACCTGGAGGCAGCTGGGCGATGAGCTCCACGTCCAGAGCTGCTTGTCCTGCTCGCTCTGCGACAGGACAGTGCGTTGCCGTGCTGGTCTGTGTTCCTCACGTGACTTCCGCTCAGTGTTAAACTCCTGTCAGCGAGACAAGACAAGCAGTGTGCTCAGGGGGCACTTCTGCCTCCGCAGTGTCTGAGGGATTTTTCGTGCTGCTCCCTGCTTCTCCTTGGTGCTCCCGTGGCCTATGGTGCTTCTCTACTTCCTGTCGCTGAGCGCCCATGTTTCTCTGGACAGCAGTCATATCCATTTTCTGCCACTATCATTTTCTTAAATTACAACCTCAACTTATCATTGTGTAGTCTGATGGGATCCTGATGTTACAGGAGTTACCAAGTTCTATATGCACTCTACTGAAATTATACGTAAGTCTGCCAGTAAATTTTACTTAGGACAATACTCATTTTCAACTTACGTATTTGTCAAGAGAACTAAACCTTATGATTATATTTTGTGCATAGATATAATTTTATCTATCTTTGTCCCTTCCTAATTACTTAAGAATTTATATTTATTATTCAATTTTCACTGCCCATATCCCTCCATACATCAGTGTTATGGACTCTGGGATAAGAATTCTAACCGTATCTCTCTTTCTGCCCTCAGAATGAGAGTCTGGTTAGCGCCTCATGAACAGAGATGCTTGGAAGAATCTTCTGTAAAGTTTCACTTATTTTGGTATTTATACGTGTGTGAAATGCACACACCAGGATCAGCTAGACTTTCATCCAGTTTGGTGGCACTGGATTTCAGCATCTGTAAATTCAAACATTTCTGGAGCTCATTGTGCCTGGGAACCAGTAGTTGTTGACATTATTGATTTTTTTTTCTAGTCATTGTTGCAGTTTTTCTCTTGGAAACACCAAGACTGAAACTTCTACTGAGTCTAGTCTGGATCCCATGTCCGTGTTTCCTTAATACAGATTAAACTTGGTTTGAAGTGCGAGTTCCTTGTTATTTTTTAATGTTGGCAATCTCTCTAATTTTTTTCTGAGTTACTTGGATATATCATAATAACTGAACTGATTATTTATTTGTTTTTGTGAATTTTGTAATATGCTCATCACGCAGTTATGGGAAAAGCTCTTTCCACAAAGGGTTCTGTTTTTATGTAAAACAGAAAAAGACAATCAGAAGTGCTAATTGATGTCTCAAAGGAATTTTTACTTTGCTGAGGGTTAAAAACCAAGTGTTTGTGATTTACTAAAAGCATGCCACAAAGGGTTGGGGCAAAGTACAAAATTAAAACAAAAGCCTTGCATGCAATTGCAAAGATTAATTAGAAAAGACAATGAAGAGACCCTTATGTGGTCTTCTGTAATTTAATTTTTACGTAATATTCTAGGGCCATATGAAAAGTGAAATTGGAGTTTAAGAGTCCATTAAGGCTTTAATTTTGTTCAAGTTTACTTATTTGAGAGGCAGGGAAAGAAAGACAGTGCTAGGCCTCTTGTTTGTGGTCGTGGCTATCTTCGGCGATTATCAACCCCGATACCCTCCTAACCACGGACTGTGCACTGTGCATTTAACACTGTCAGATGCAGAGTGTTTTATCTGCGCTAACTCATTTGGTCATCTCCTCAGTAACCCTACAAGGGAGATGACATGCATAATCTCCTGTTAGCTATGGGAAAGCTGAGACTCAGATGACTGAATTGTCAGACAAGATGTAAACCCAGAAACTGTCTTCAGAGCTGATCCAGGAATCGATGCAGATGCTATCGTTTGCTTCTGTCTTTGTCTCTCACAAAGTGCTCAAGTTACAGGAATGGTCATTGCAGCATGTCAGCACTTAAGACAGCATCATGGTGTTGCAAAAACTCCTGTGAGACACACTGTGCTGAGGGAAGCGCTTGTGCCGTCAAGTCTGGTGTGGCCCTATTGGAGTGCTGGGATTGCTGCTGGGCACCAGCTTCTTGCTGAGTGTACCCAGACGGGCAGCACGTTTTGGCTCACATAATTGCATTCCTGCCACCCAAGTAGAAGGTCTGAATTGACTTCCAGGCTTTCAGCTTTGGCCTGTCCCACCCCAAGCCGCTGTGAGCGTTCAGAGAGTGAACCAGCAGGTCGGAGCTCACAGTCTCTGCCTTTCCCCTCTCTCTGCTCCTATACATAAAAATTTTTAATGTTTTCAAAGACGTTGTGTTTAAAAATGGACTCACCAGTCAGAAATAAGGATGTGAAATCATAGGTGGGAACATTTTTCAAATTGTTAGTGAGGCCACAGCAGCTCTGAGAGTCAGGGGCCCCTGTCACGCCCTCGCCTTCTGCTGGGGCTCCTGTCACGCCCGCACCTTCTACTGGGGCCCCAGTCACGCCCGCACCGTCTCCTGGGGCCCCAGTCACGCCTGCACCTTCTACTGGGGCCCCAGTCACGCCCGCACCGTCTCCTGGGGCCCCAGTCACGCCTGCACCTTCTCCTGGGGCCCCAGTCACGCCTGCACCGTCTCCTGGGGCCCCTCGTGCGGATGCCTGCTGCAGCGTTGCCTTGTGCTCCAGCGTGCACAAGCTCTGCTTCCCACATTCACTTCATGGTTCCTCGTGTCCATCCTGCTGCAAACTTTCACCTACAGGATATACCACGGTTATCGTGGCTGGGTTATTTTAGTATTTTAAGTGATAGTTTCTTGTTTTTTTTGTTTTCAAACAGGAGCAAAGTTTATTGGAACTTTCCCCATACCAGACACCTATAATCCAGATGATGATAAAATATATTTCTTCTTTCGTGAGTCATCTCAAGAAAGCAGCACATCTGATAGGACCATCCTTTCTCGTGTTGGAAGAGTTTGCAAGGTAAAATATATTTACGAATCTTACTGGAAGCAAATAAGCGAGTCCTTGATGAATGAAATTAAAAGAGATGCAACTTGTTATAAGCCGAAGTGGAAACACATGCATAAGGTATTTCCCATGAACTTTTGGAAGATCCATCTTAAATGGCAGGTGCACAGAAACTCTGAGACCACTTTCATTTTGTGTCATTAAATATTTAGTTTGATAGAAGTTATGCCTAATAGAATAATAATTCTACTTTTAGCCACAGCATATTATTTTTCACATGGGTGTATTGTCATTGAAATAACTTTTCTTAAGCACACAGACTTCAGCCTAATGCCAGTTATTAAGGGAAGAGCTGTTGCGTTAATGTATGCACTCAGCAGGAAGCTCTCTTTGGTCTTGTACAAACTTTTCATTTTCTTCCCTCGGAACCCATCCCTTTTTGTTTCAATCTGTGCCCTCTGGCTTCTAAACACTTTCATGGACAGGAATACAAACCATCACTGCACTTAAAATTGCTAATGAAAACATAGCTTTTGAATGAGGCCAACATGTGAACCTAGATCAGCCAATAACGCCATGTCCCACTGATCCCCTCGCCCTGGGGGACTGATGCTCTGAAAGGCAAACCCGTTCTTTCATAGTCTAAGCATCACATTAATTTCTCCTGAAGCACTTGCCTAGAGATGAATGGCTATTGCTTGGAGTGGCTGTAGGATGTTAGTGTATTGAGGCATGCCTTGTAAAAACTGTGTCCTGACCCTGAAAACCTAAACTGTGGGTGGACATTATTTGTATAAATTAACTTAGTTAAATATGTCATAAAGGTTTTACAATCAGTTGGATGCATTTCCTTAGAATGTGTATAACAAGTGTGTTGTTTGTGCACTGGTTCAATGCTAATTTCTTAATAGATATAATAATCCACTTGATGAAAACCCATCTACCACAAAGTAATGCTTTCAGGTTAGTATAAATATACTAAAAGCTCGTGTTAGAAGTGGGGAGGATATATTAAGGAAAAAAAATTAGTTGTTCCAATTGTAAATATTTATATTAAAGGTATAATCTTGACTTTATGGATTAGCTATACAATATTTTATTTAAATTGTGAATAAACTTGTATGTTAGAAAGGCTGAGAAAATTGTCGGAAATGAGTGTTCCCACCACAGTGAAATCCAGGCCACACAGCAAGATTTTGTAATGCTATTGTTCTTAGTTAAAAAGCTAACAAATTGTGAGATTGAATAAGGATGCGTGATGAATGAATTTACTTAAAAAAGAGGCTCTTTACTCAGCAGTGTATCTCCATGCATTCGTTCTGTTCCCTGAGCAATGTCTTCACAAGTTTTTCATTGTGTCCTGATTTAAGTGTTTGAAATTCCTCAAAATGTTTTCTTTTTCTATCTTAACTTGCATTTAATAATTTAGGATTAATTAGCAGCAAAATGTGAGCATATCTGAATAATAATTCAGTAAAAAAAAATTAAAATGACTCAAATCCTTAAGATTTGTTATTGTGGCCTGTCAACGTAGCAAGTTTAATCATACATTTAAAAATCCACATTGTCTTTATTTATTATTTTTATAAAAATAGATTCTTGTAGTATTATTTGAAAGTGTATTTCTTTCTGGTATTTTTCAATCCCCCTCTCCTCTTGAGATGTCAACACAATATCATTTTTCTACTTTTGGCAAATAAGAACATGATGAATGTCTGTTCTGTGGAGCGAAGCTCGTGGCTATATGCAGAGTTCCAAAGACAGATGACTCGGAGGAGAATTAGCATTCAGTTCTGTCTGCTTTCCTGAGTTTTCACTGTTTTCATGCCAACGGGAGCCCTTTATATTATTTATTCTAGCATATTGCCACAGAACATATTCAGAAACTCTACGCATTGCTTTTGCTGTTATTATTGTTTATTTCTATTTTTAACTGAATATTTGGCACAATGGAAAACTGATAGTTTAAGGCCTTTCTACCTCTTTAACTGGTAACTGAAGGAGGAAATATTACTGACCCTTAAAACTTGTTTACAACCCACCGGAGACGTTGGTTTTAGACTGAGTGGAGTAGAGTGATTGTCAGGGAGGACTCTGAGCAGTAGGCACACATCTTACAGAACAACTGAAAGCTGAGGGCAATTTTTTTTTTAATTTTTCTGTATCATTTATTTATTGTTTTATCTTTTTAGCATTTCAGAAGATCAAGAAAATATGCACTAATTATCACAAAAAATACACAGAATTCTTGGTGGAACCAATAACCAATTCCCTTTTCCCCATAGTGCAGGGAAGATGGACGATTCCTTTCCAGATAGCTTTCTTCACAGCACTCATTTCGTGAAGTTTTTGAAGACCCCTGGATTAAGCAGATAGTCAGGATATAGTGTGGTAGAAATGAAGCCTGGCGATGGTAAACATTTAGAGAAGTTCATATTCATTATGCCAAAAGAACTTGTGGTGAATGAGTGCTGCAGTGAGGGTGGTGGAAACCGCACTAGGTAAAGGAAGCCCAGCACTGCAGGCCACACGGCGATGGGACAGCAGCATGTTGCAGCTGGAATCGAAGAGGGGGAGTGTGGCAGGGGGTGGGGCATCTGTGAGATTAGATCGCTATATCTGGTGATAGGAAATCCTGATTCCATCTGAGTGAGTATGAACTCTCCGCTGAAGGCAGTGAAGAGTTATGAAATGTTTTAGACAGAATAGTCACAAGCTAGCTAGCTATATTGAGCAACCATTTGAAGAATGTATCTGAATTGAGAAATACTTGAAAGTAAACAGATATAAAGAGGCAGGGGTAAGTTCAAAAGATATTTCAGATAGGATGTTTCTAACCCTTAATTTACCTTTTATACATAGAATCTGTGTGTAAACCTCTACAAGGTCCTTAATTACCACTGTTGACGTATTTGCATGTAGGCTCATGCTGTCCAATCAAACTGCAATGACAGCCATGTTCTGCATGTGCACACCCCATTGCAGTGGCCACACGATTGTTCGTGTGGTGATAGGAATGGCCTGACATAGTAACTGAATTTCTAATGTATTATAATCACCAAATTATGTAAACATTTTGATCAGGGGATGTGGCTGGAGAGAGACAGTGCGAAGAGGCTGTCAGGTGCCCAGACGCATGAGTCATTGTCTCCCTCAGGGTGCTTCATCTTGCACAGAGCCCATCTGCTGTCGCACTGCTGCTCGCTAGTGCCACCGCTTGGCAGTCCAACTGCTTCCTCAGTCTTTAGTCTTTGGTGGTTTCTGAAGTCTTGGTCAGGCTCTGAGGATCTTGATTGTGCCCCACTCCCAGTGTGTTGCCTGGCTGCCTGGTGTAGGTGGCCCTCAGGAACGCTGCTCTCAGGGGTGATACATTTCACAGACCTTTGTTCTGAGGGACTAAACATTGACCGGATGGCCGAGGGAAGCAGCACGAAGTAAACCTTCTGGAAAGATTGATGTCTGTTTACTTTGCAAGTTGGTACTTTCAGGTGCTGTAATTTATGCCCATGTGATGTTTATTGCTGTGTGTGTGTGTACATGTATGCGAGGGCTTCTTTCCCTTCGAGAAATAGCATATAGGCGAACCCCAGTTCCTGGAGGATCCCTCCCACAGGCTGCTCTCCAAGTTGCTCTTGGATTCTGTTCATTGTCCATCATTGTGTGCATACCACGCACCTCCGGAGTCCAGCTGTAAGCTCCACCATTCTGTTACACAGCATTTCCTTTGGTCCCTGCCAGGAATTCAATTTGCGTGGCCTTTTCACATAGCTTGCCTGAGGGTCTCATTAATAGCTTTTTGCTTCGATTCCATGTGTATTGTCTATTTTGATATATGGCCCTATTTGGACAATTACTGCCTTTGAAGATGTGTGTTTTTAATCCAGTGACACTTTCCATATTCGTTGATCTCTGCCGAGCCGTGGTTTGTGAGCTTCCTTTCCGTGTGTCAGTTACGGCCTCAATGAAAGATTTTAATGCCCGGACTTACAGATGTGATTTGGCTTGGCTTCCATCTGTTGTTCTGTCTGAGAAATTCCTAGGAAGGGATTTACACTGTTTGCCACAGGTTTTGGTTTTAATTTAATAAGTACCGCCTCTCCCTGAGAAAGGCCAATTAGCCTGCCTAAACGTACCTAATTGAATCTGTTAATATTAGCAACGAAGTTTTAGTCCATCATGTATCGACCAGCTTCTGCCTGAGCATCTTTATGAGTTTTTGAAGCAGCCAAAAGAGGTGTTCTCTATGTCTGCTTGCCGTTCTCCAGTGTCAGATCATGAAAAGTCGGATCTAGTGATTTTTTTCCATAGTTTTTTTTTCCTTGAGAGCCACTGAGGAATTTGTCTCTTAAAACCTCTTGATTCAATGCCTGCCATAAATTTTTTCCCCTCGTCTTTGTCTTCAGTGTTTGGGTCTGTATATTTTTGTTTCCTCTGCTCTAATCTCGAGGTGTCTCAGGATTAGTAGGTGGGAGAAAGCCTACCTTGTTGGCTGCCGACCTGTCTGGAATTTATTTTGGATTCCAAAGTGTCAGAAAAGGTATGAAAACCTTTGCAAACAGTGAAGAATCGATGCTAACAGATCTTATTCTCTTATTAAGAGAAAAAATACCGATGGGGCTCTCTTGATGGAAGTAAGTTTAAGGTCTGATTCTCAATGGAAGAAGGGAAAAGGTATTTGCTCCTGCAGGGTGAATGGCCCTGAGTGCTATGCGATTGTTTCTGGAGTTGTTTTCACCATATGAACTGACTTGACAGCCAGACAGTTGTTTAACAGGAGACTTAACTCACAGCCACCCTCTTCTTGATTAAGATGATTTTCTGTCTTAAGTTTTGATGGTCAGACTTTTTATTTTTAATCATAGTAACACAGCTTGACTTTCCTACTTGGCTTAGTGGCATGGCTTCCCTAACTCCCCTTCGTTCATTGTAATAATGTGTTTGAATATCTCTTCATCTCCTCTCAAAAAGACTCTTCGTTTCTGACTTTCCCCTTTTCTTTCTAGGCCATCATG